GGGGGGTTACACGGTAAAAGTTCGAGAAACACTGCACCGGAGCACCAAATCCGCCACTGAAAATAGTCCCCAACAAATGCACAACTTCTCTCCTGTTTCACCAGTTCACCATGTTGTGGTTTATATAACATTAAACTGTATATAGTTGTGTTTTAATCTACACACTGGAATGAGAGGTGTGCCTGGTTTCACACGGTCCAACAGAAAACAAAGAGTTGAACTGGTTCAGTATCTCACATGAGTTACATCACCATCACTGTATCTAGAGACTCTTCTCTCCAACGGCTGCTGTCTGATGGTTTTGTTGCGGCCACTTTCTCGTAACACCTCATCTTCACTATTATTATCCTGTTATGGACCGCTTCATGTTTTTCTATTATTATTATTTAGCACATCTGCACAGAAGAGACCCAACGGACTGAAACCGTGGCTGTATATTTACACGTATCGATACAAAACATCCTTCATATTCTCTGATCAGCGTCAGCAGTGGTTACTCACAGTGAGGTTGTCCCTTAATAGCTGCATGATCAGCGTGCTGTCTTTGTACGAGTCCTCGTTCAAGGTGTCGAGCTCGGCGATCGCCTCGTCGAAAGCCTGCGTGGGGGAGAGAGAGAGTCAGTGATTCTTAAAAACACATTTACATGAAGGTTAGGTTTGTCTTGTTTAATGAGTTCCATCGGTTTGTTTGCTCCGTGTTCTCAACATGTAAAGTTACCAGGCAACAACCTCCGGTTCTGCCGAGTGAAGCCGATGAGGAAGTGTCTTAAACCTGCATTCTATCTAATGTCCACCAGGGGGAGACTCCTCTGGTTGTATAGAAGTCTATGAGAAAATGACTACTTCTCTCTTGATTTATTACCTCAGTAAACATTGTAATAAAGCAGGGTATGCTTTAGGGCGGGGCTTACTGTGATTGACAGGTCTCTACCAGAGTTATATACGGCGTCTCTACGTCACTCCTCCACAGTCCAAATATGGTAACTTATGTTATGGTAACTTATGGCGCCGACCTCAAGGCCGACCTCAAGGCTTCAAAACATCAGTCCACAAACCAATGAGCGACATCACGATGACTACGTCCACTTCTTATAGACAGTCTATGAAAGTAACATGTAGCATTTTTAAGCGGTTTTTAAGGTATCAAATGAAGTACTCTTTTGGTATCAATATCACTTTAAGGGTAATCTTCAGGGTACTGGCATCTTCAACTCTACCCAGCTCCATAAAGCTCCAGGTATCCAGCAGAAGTCACACATAAAAAACACTGTCCCTTTTGGGTGCTTTCGCTCTTGAGTTGCAATTTTAAAAAGTCGCCCCCAAGCTGCCAAAAAGACAGCGCTCCTAACGTGAACGAACGCAAAGCGTTGTGCACCCACCTGCTTGGCCAGAGTGCAGGCCTGCTCGGGCGAGTTGAGGATTTCGTAGAAGAAGACTGAGAAGTTGAGGGCCAGGCCCAGCCGGATGGGGTGTGTCGGCTGCATGTCCTTCTTGCTGATGTCGAAGGCGTTCTGGTAGGCCTGCTGAGAGTTCTCCACCGTGTCTTTAACACAAAAACACACCGCTCAGTCACACTGTGACCCGTGAACATTATTACGACACGTGTTACATAAACCTGCAGTGAATGTCCTCTTGGTGGCAGCAAACGAGGCTAAAAGTCTAGAGTCACGTAAGCAGCTCTGTGAGGCTGCACTCGAGCTAAATGCTAACGGCACGCTAACACACCAACACTGGTGATGTAAACCAGCTGATGAGCTAAGAAGTGTGTTGACCACATTCAGCGTCTTCATTTATTGTATCAGTGCGGTAACGTTTGCCAATTCAGCATTAAATACAAAGTACAGCTGAGGCTGATGATGCTGCGAGATGGAAAGTCACCAAAGTTACTACAATTCATCCTGAAGACAATATAAATATCTGTACAAAACTTCTGTTTTCTATGGTACTTTTTGGAGGATAGAAGTATCTTCTGATGACTTTTGGTAAAATAAACTTAAAAAAGGGAGCTGGAAAATGTTCACTTTACTGTAAATGTTTACCAAGTTCTGTTCATTAAAGGGAACATTAACCCCGGAGCTACATCGCAAACAGCACCGGACTTTTGTTTGAGCAATAAAGAAAATTACCCAGGTGCCCCAGCCCTGAGTCAACAAGCATCGCTCTGCACAAGCCGTCCAATAGAAAAACACTGAATCAACACCGCGACCACCTCCGGGTGATGACAACACACTCACCCTTCTTTGAGTCCCCAGAGGCCACCTCCGACAGGTATCTGAAGTAGTCTCCTTTCATTTTGAGGTAGAACACCTTGCTCTCCGCCTGAGACGCATTGGCAATGAGGAATTTGTCGAGCAGATTCTGAAACGCACAAAGACCACCGGACGGGGTTCGTTACACCACTATTACAAAGTATGAACTCTTTCACGCACTCAATAGTGCCGTGCTACTTCCACATATATATATATATATATATATATATATATATATATATATCTTGCTTATTTATCCGCTTTGCAGAGGCTTGTGGGTCATAACAGCCCAGAAAAGCATGCTGGCTTGTATCCTGCAAAATGAGCCCAGATGCAGGAGAAGCTCCTGGTATGTTACACTGCATTAGGCATACCATGTATCGGGGACAGACTAAGCAGTAAGGTAGTACGGGTATTGGAAGGCACAGACTGACGACACGTGTCCTGCCTGCGGTGCTCCAGTCATGAGCAGCTGCTGATGTACAGAGTCTCCGGTGGAAAAGGCGCCGAGGCTGGCGGTCTTCTGTAAATCACCTTTAAAGCTGCCGGTACGCTCGTGTGAGAGCTTTGTGACTCAGACGTGTCGCTACGCTAACAAACGGGCGAGAGGCCGTGCGACATTCATTCATTCATTCATTCATTCATTCATACATATACACATATACATACACATACACATACACACAGATAGATAGATAGAGATATAGATATCGATATAGAGATATAGAGATATCGATATAGATATAGATATCGATATAGACAGATATAGAGATATCGATATATATATAGAGATATCGATATATATATATAGAGATATCGATATATATATATAGAGATATCGATATATATATATAGAGATATCGATATMKATATAGAGATATCGATATCGATATAGAGATATCGATATCGATATAGAGATATCGATATCGATATAGAGATATCGATATAGAGATATCGATATCGATATAGAGATATCGATATAGAGATATCGATATAGAGATATCGATATATATAGAGATCTCGATATATATAGAGATCTCGATATATATAGAGATCTCGATAAATATATAGATATCGATATATATATACAGATATCGATATATATATAGAGATATCGATATATATATAGAGATATCGATATATATATATCGAGATATCGATATATATATATATATATATATATATATATATATATATAGAGATATCGATATATATATATAGAGATATCGATATATATATATATATATAGATATAGAGATATCGATATATATATATATATATATATATATAGAGATATCGATATATATATATCTATATATAGATAGATATATAGAGATATTTATATATCTATATATATAGATATATAGATATATTTATACATCTATATATCTCATCACTTTGTAACATCTTCTAGATGAAGGTGACCAACATATTTGGGTCCTTCTGAGCATCCTGCTGCTGTAAGGACGCCGCGTCTCCTCCCTTCATTCCTCCAGCGCCTCATCACTGCAGAGGCTTCCAGTCTGAGCTTAGAGGATATTATTAGACGTCTGCTCAGACGCAGGAAAAGAAGAAGATTTGAGTCTGATCTGACCTTGTAAGGACCTGGCTGTGTGAGGGTGGTTAGAGAGGCTTCAATCGAATCAAAGAGCCAAACTCACCAACGACACAGGAGATACTTTCCCTCAGTTTTGGAAAAAAGCAGTGAATCTACAACCACACCACTGGATGTCACCAAATCCTACAAAGAACTGCAACTTTAAGGAAAGAGTGACCAATGAAAAAAGTGCATTTAAACAAATCTCTCTTTGGGTTCCTGAGATTAAATTTACAGCCTTTTTACCAGGAGAAGACAAACTATTTCCTGCTTCTGCTCCTGTATTTCTGTTCAGATCCAAGTATTCAAATAGTGTTTCAGGGGGCGGTGGTGAAGGTGGACTGCACTGGTGAAAAACATACAGACTAAAAAATACACACACACACACACACACACGCACACACTTTTTTTATAAATATGTAATAACCCTAACGTCTAATCCAGAGATGGAGGTACTGGGCATTTGGACCGAAAACAGCACTGTGTTATAAAGAAGATTTTTAGGCTTTGTGTGTCCATCAAGAAGAGAGGGAGGGAGAACAAAGAAATGAAACCTTAGTTTCTGATTGTTTCACTGCCGTTACGTTCCAAAGAACCAAAATAAAAACACACCGATAGCAGCGCTGTGCACACAGCAGAGCAACGAAGCCCGTAAAGACAGCGATGCAACAACCAGCTCCCATTCGTCACATACGGCCGCGTTGTCTGACAGAACTAAAGTGGGCCTTTTGCCCGTTGATGTAATAATGCTTGTGCCAAAAGCAGCGGTATCAGACAACCTGAACATCCTCACTGGCTGAGGTTCACACCCTCCACGTGGTCACTATTGGCTCTTTCCCCGACGCCCGGAAACGTCCCGACCACAGCAGAAGAAGAACGGAGAAAACACAGACAAGAGCGCACAACATACACAACAGTGGGTCATACCTGACGAGTGAGAGTGGTTATGTCTGTGTATACTTTGTCTTTTCACCATGAATTAGAAAAAACAGTGTGATCTCCCTCCGTACCAGCACATCCTGGCAGATTTCTTGGAGTTCAGTCTCGATCTTCATACGGTACTCTCGGGCCATCTGCTGTTTCTTCTCGTTTCCCTCCGTCTTCTGCTCGATGCTGGAGATGACGCGCCAGGATGAGCGGCGGGCCCCCACCTGATGACACCGTCAACAACATCACTTTAAAATCTCACACGCGACGGCATAAAGAGCTGAAATAATACATATTTAGTACGATAGAATGATAGTACGCTATTCTCCCAACTCGGCAGGTAAAACGTACTGGGAACGACTGCATCAACACATTTTTCAATCAAACCTGGATGATAAATAGAGCAGCAGTGCTGAAAAGAAACCCGAGGCTGCTCTTATATAATTTGTGCTTTTATAAATAGACGATAAAATCTTCATGAAAAACAAAAAAAGGCTCCTGTAACAGAACATACTAAAGACTACGACCATTGATGAGTCAGGAGATGCTCCCAGCTGACAGTTATTAAAATGCACAGTAAGAAGGTGTTTATTATTGGTGACATGCTCAATGCAACGCTTCCTTACAGGCACAAGTGGAGCAGCTCATGAAGTTCTCCGAAAGAAAAATGAAAAATAGATGTGATCTTTATTAGTGGACAATATTCAGTTAAAATATAAACGATCGGGAGATTTGCATTAATGATTCCTAGTAGGCGGTCCTTGGTAACGCTACACTGTTATCAAACATAACTAAAGCAGCAGAGTGCATTATCCACTCTGCTGCTGTAATCCTGCAAACGTGCCCGCTGCGGGACTAATAAAAGATCATCTCGTCTCTTATCTCAACTCCATACATTTATTCTTTATTATTACGAGGACAGTTTTAATCTTCAGTTCAGTTCTATGGAGAAAACATACCTGTGAAACATTTATTAATCAATTTAAGAACGCATGAACCGTGAGCTCTGTATTGAACCAAATCATTAGCCGACTGCACAGTTGCATCGTGAGCATCTACACATTTGGTGTGAATTAATAATAATAAATAAAAGGAAGGTGTGAGCCATCAGATGGATTCGTACCACGTTCTTGTAGGCGACAGACAGCAGGTTGCGCTCCTCGTTGCTGAGCTCCAGGCCCTGCTCCGTCACGGCCTTCATGGCAGCCGCCATGTCGTCGTAGCGCTCGGCCTGCTCGGCCAGCTTGGCTTTCTGCACCAGGTCGTTCTTATCCATTTTTTTAGGCTGCAGGGGAAGAAGAACAAGAGGGGAAGGAAAGACCAGAGTCAGTGTTTGGACTTAGGATCTACCATTTACCAGCTGGAACGAAAAAAAGGCGAGACGACAGTAGACGAGAACGATACAAAGACAAGACCAGAGAGGCCGCGATATAAGTAGAGCATGCCAAAGATGGAGAATATATTAAGAGAAAAGGGAGACCACTAGTGCGGAATAACCGGAGTGTTGGGCTAGAAGCTCAAGCATCCATATAGATGTTGTACGTGAATATTAGGATATTAAAATATACCAGTAGGGATGTCAACAGTTTAAAAACGGTAAAAGCAGATGTAGCACTTTGAAATGCGCCAAAACTTTGGAGCGCAAAGATTTTTTTGTATTTCACACCATTTTAAACATTCAACAGTTAGTTACCCGTTAATGGGAAGCAAAATTAAACCAAAGCCGACGTCCCTATGTCCAAGCAAAGACCTTCCAGCGCCTCGTTAAATGTCAAAAACCATTTCAATAAAAGCTCCCCCAGTTATCACGTCCCCGAGGGCTTTTTCTACTCGCAGGAAGAATCTGTAGGTCTAAGTAGGCCACAGCCACCATCTCACATCTACCCAGCAACTCTCCACTGTGGGCTTTAACTGGCTGCGTTGATTAACCTGTACATCCCATCACATCGTTTAAAACTGCTTAAGAATGAACCGATACACAAGTAGGTAAATATGTTAATACATTAACACCAGAATACAGCTGTACCCTCACATCTGCAGGACAACAAGTTGGATATATTTCCAGTTCAGAGCAGCGACCAGCCTTCTTCCACCAGAGGGACATTTATTCAAACACCACCTTGTTGGCGCTTACCTGACTTCTGACCTCCCTGTCGAAGGGAATGAGGACGGGGTTTCCCTACGGAGGGCAAAAGAGGTCATCTATAAGCTTGATGTATTATTCTTTTCTTTCCTACATATGATGCTACATAGTGAACGACAAATCTGTGTTGAAATCAGCAGAGCGAGATAATTAACGTTAGCGGTTAGCAACCGGTGGGCTATGAGCTAACGTTAACGGAGGTTGCTTTGGCGATACTAAATTTAAAATTCAAGAGACAATACTGTATTCAACCTCTTCAAAGCAGTTCTCTAGAAAACATTGCGGCATCTTTTTCTCTTGGAAATATCTGTTTTTTATTGCATTCACGTCTTTACATGTCACCGCCAGGCATCAGGCTGATGTGCAGGGCCCGGCTTCAGCCCGACTGTCACAAAGATCCACTTTTCATTCAGTTTCACGGTTCCTTCTTCCGACTCGTTTCAGCGTTTACGGTCTTCTTGCAGATGCTCGGTATAAACGAGGCTTTTAAAAATATTTTTCATATATGATCTTCTGCACTCCAAACGTTATTTAGTGTATAATGTTTTAAAAAAAAAGATCTCATAATGATAAATTGATCAAACTGGTTATATCATGCAAATACAAAGCACATCATGAAGTCTAGCTCACCACCACCAGATGGCAGCCGTGTTCTCACCATGACATTCAATAGAGCTGGTTCAACTGTGGCTCTGATGTTATAATACATTTAATTCATGGCGTCAGATAAGTGTTTTTTCTTCTCTTCAATTGGTTAAAATATTACTCAGGCAATTTAATTGTTTTTGCTTGTGAGCAACTGATAATTAGCAATAAATCAATCAACCTAAAATCACTTAATATTTAACATTACTCTACATTATGTCAACCATCAAAGATTTTGCAATACTATAGTATCCCTTTGATATCTCTGGTTGTAGCAACAAAGGCAATGTTGTGATCAACCAATGAGCAGGACCGCTTAACAAGTTTTTGTATGAATTTGGGATCAATACAATGAAGCAACTTCATTCATCTGCTATTTTAATTGCTGGATTAGAAAAGTATCGACATTTATGACAGCAGGACTGCAGCCCTTGCACCCGACTGAAAAGATGGATGTGGACAAACAAAACTAAAATCTTTTGGTTATTCACAAAGTTAGATCCTGCGGCCTCTTTCCTACACTTCCTGTGGTCTGCAGGGTAATTATTGGTCTCTCAGCGCACCAGTGGCACAGTTCCAGTGCCGATTCAAGAAATCAATTATTTGTGGATATTGAGTGCGGTTCAATTCTTTCACCTAAAAACAAAATGCGTTATAGCATTAGAGTACAGCATCATTATACATTCAGATACCCATTTCCAGGACACTGATTAGGAAGAAATCCCTCAGATTTTCATTGTCAACAGCTAAACTACACTGTTTAGTTTCATTGATCTGAAAGTGAGAGGGGTTTTATCATATTACATCAGTTTTAAGAAGAAAAGAAACAGCCACGTCATGATCATAATGTAAATCAATAGTCAAGACGCCATTTGATTTTGAATTGAAATACCCGAAAAATTATAATAATTATGGGAAAGGCGGAGTTTACTTTATGTCTAACAAACATTTAAAATAAACTCAGAATTACCGTGTCTAACCTCTTCATGTCATTCAGTCAAATGATTGGCAGAAAATTCAGCAACGTTTTGAAAACTGATTTCTCATTTAAGTCACTTTTCACGCAAAAAAAAAAAAAAGACCCCCCACTTCATCATTTGCATGATTTAAATGATAATATCTGGATATTTAACATGGGCTACATCAACATGGGTTCTGGGAAATTGTAGGCCATTTACGGCTCTGACATATTATAGAGTGCAATATTAAATCAAGACAATAATCAGGCGATTAGTGAGTAATGAAAATAAACTACGCTGACAGTTCACCAGTTCGCTGACAGTACCTGAGAGAGGTGAAAGATTTTATCTGTCAGCAGCAAATTTCAATTACACCTTGGGAAACTTCAGGCGAGTCCACCAGAGTTTAACTTTTACTATAAAAGGTTCCAGCATGCTTAAAACTTTACACCCTGATAAACATCACCCACTCATGAAAAAAGCCTTTTATAATGAATGATTATGAAAAGGGTGGCTACGATTTAATGGATTTCACTCCTCTTAACAAACATTATACATGTTATTTTAATTAAAAGACCTCTTCAGGTGTCTCATCTCTCAGGGTTAATCGTCTAAATTCTTTTAGTTTTATTGACATGGTTTTTATTGCGGTCACTGAGTTCATCACTGAGGTTTTGCTGATAAAGAACAAATGACGTTGACAGGTAATTAAATAAGCACAAACAGGAACGCGGGCCCAGTGTGAAAATGAAAATGGTGAAAGCTTTTTTTTCAGCATCGATGAAAAGGAAGTGAATCTTCAGAGGCTGTCTGTGGCATTCGCACAGTGCTGTCATTTCGACAACCGTGTTATGCCTCCGAAGCTAATCGGAGTTAGCATTTAGCTCAAACGCCGCTCATTGCGGTTATTAACAAGTACCGGTTAAGAGAAGCGTAATCAACCGCCTCATGTCGGTTAAAATTGATCAAAGTATGGCCATTTCATCACACCACCATCGTCTGGCACGGTACCAACACCACCAACGTTACAACCGTTACCATCTTACGTTATAGCTAGCTGACTACTAAAGGTTAACAGGCGTATGCGCACCGAGAGAGAGAAACAAAAATGGGGTACACCATCTTCAACAGTCGGTACGAAAAAAATAAAATAAGACAGTGAACGTTTTTTTCCAGCCCAAGCACGTTTAGAAACAAGCCCACCAGACCGTGAGATGGTTCCGGTCGTGTCGGTTATAGTCGGCCTGCCATCAAACTACGCCCTCCTTGTCGCATTCCCCTGCGGAATTTTTAAGATGGAGAGATAGATTACCGCTAGCATTAGCATGCTAACAGAACGTCATACAGCACGGCCGTCGGCTTTTTAGCTAACCTGTTAGCTTAGCTAGCTAGATAACGGGAGCTGACCCAGTTCAAATCGGAACAGCGAAACATTAAATGTGCCGAGCTACGAGCTGAAATAGCTGAATGATTAAAACACGGCATGTGTTCCCATTTCTCCGCTGTCGGTTCTGTGATATGGAAAATAATTTAAATCGTATTTTGAGTGGAAACTCCCGGTGAAATACGGAGGGTGTGTTAGCTTCCATGTCGTTTCACTACGCCATAACGGAGCTAAGCTAAAGACATTACGTTATTAAATTACGCTGTTTCTGCGAAGAATGAGGCCGAGATATATGTCGGGTTGTCCTGGGTGTTGTCAGTAGCTCAGTACTATAGCTTTGCATTATCCACCATGCAATGTACTGGCTGTACTTTAGCATTGCCTGCTAAAAAAAAGAAAAGAAATGCTGCTTTCTCGACGGCTAAGCTGTCAAAATGGCCAAACTTGCCGCTTGCTTCTCCCTCGCTACACGGTCGCGTGGTCGCGGGCCTTCAAAAAAAAAAATCAACGATCTAAAAGCACGTTATACAACACAAAGAGCACGCGGGACCTTTCGACAGGTGTTTTTTAAGGGTTATTTATCGCTATTTTTGGGCCACAAAGTCTCGGCCTAAAAATCCTCGCAACCCAGCCCCAAAACCCACAATAGGCACCTTCCGCCGCATAGGAAAGGAATGGGGGGGCCAACCGCTGGGGCTTTTTACCTTTACACCCCCCCCCCAAAAGAAAGTGTGTCCTCACGCTGTGATACAAGACAATAATCGAGTATTATTTTAGGTGAACTCACATTTTAAAGCGAACAAGGAAATCCCGATTTTATTCTCTGAAACGATGGGAGTTTATCAAGCCGTCCTCCGCTCGCTGCTCAGGGTATTCAGGGCAGTACCACTTCCGCCTTTGCTCTGACACTTCCGCTTCCTCTAAAACCCCACCCCTCCCCCTGCCAGTATCCATGGCGACCGAGCCAGGGGGTTTCCTGAGCATCTTGCGAGGGGCTTTGACGTCAGAGACAGAAGACCATGGCAACCAGCCGCTACGGGATGACGTGCGCCGGTCTCCGTGGCAACTGTCTCCACGAGTTCACCATCGTGTCAGCTGACACAGCGTTGTGTGGGTTTTTAAATTTTTTATTATTATTATTTTCTAGTCAAACCCTCAAACACGCAGCCCATCATTAACAATCAGTAATTAAAAAAAATATATATATATATTCCACATACTTTTCTCTGATTTATTTGTGAATTTTATAATAAAAACATATTTAAAAAAGACATTTAAACAGATACAAAAGCTAAATAATTAAAAAGTATATTATCATAATATATTTTTCATTGTTCGATGCAGGCCATTTTAGTGGAGGCATTAAATATATTATAACAGCATAGACAACTTTTTAGTTTTACTCTTGGACAGCGATTTGTTTTCCTTTTACTGGCGTCCTTTGATGATATACGGTAGAGCTGCGTCCTGGTGGTGCAATGAGACAGCAGCCTGCACTGTTATAATAATAATAATAATATCTTCATCTTCACATTAAAAATGAAACATGAGGAAAAACATTGTCCATCAAATTTGACTGATGTTTGAGCTCCAAGCATCAGTGATGTAAACACAGAGTCCAGCTCCTCTCGTCCCACCGGAGTCCTGCTCTCTGTCCTGATGTCTACCGGCCATGTTTAAATGCCCACAATGCCTTGTGTTGCTGCCACCTGATTGGCTGGTTAGAAATGGTGAACAGGTGTAATAAAGAGGCACGTTTAGGCATGTTTCATCCGGCCCATAAACATTGATTCCCTATTCAGATCCCCCCCCATCTTTAGAGCAGGCTAATCATTTGAGTAATCATTTGATTACCTTTCCAAGGCTGCAACATTTGCTGTCCATATCTAACAAAAGCAAGCTATGCCTTGAATCGTCAAATCTTTGCATCGTCACTGACAACAACAGAGTCACATAACTGTCATTTTTGCATGGAGCCGATGCATTTTGGGGTTGTTTTAGACACTTCCCTTGTAGTTTTGTGCGGGACATTTTATCTGGGCACTATATAGTGTACTGTATAGTGTGCTATATAGTAAATAAGGACACAGCCTATAACAAATAATTCTTTGTCGAACATTGTCTTTTTACCCATTTTATGGCAATCCGTCCAACATTTGTCCGGGTATTTCACTTTGAGCTTAAATTGTGCGCCTGCTGACGCAGCCAGATATAAATTCAGGAGACAAGTCATTATGGGATTCATTGTCTGGAAACTGTTAATGTCTGCACCAAGACAGATGTCTGTAGAAAGATCAGATAATAATTAAAAGTAGGTTGAACAGAAGGAGTTGAGAATAAAAATGCTTCAGACATAATTCCTCAATCCTTTTAGGCACAAAAAAAATGAAGTAGCATAATTTCTCTCAGTGAAACTAGTCATTTAAACAGGTTTTATTTGTTTCATTAGAACGTAGTGCGTACAGGAGGTTCTTATCTTTTTAGTTCCTCTGTCTTCTGCAGTTCAGTAACTTCTAATGGAACTGAACAGAAGTGGAATAAAGTTGGCCAGTTAAACACTCCATCAGTCCATCAACCCCTTTACATGAGCAGCCAGTACAAGTTCATGTATTCATCAAACTAATCAGACAATCTCTCAGTGATCATTTGGTCAGTTAGATAATTAATCAACACAGAAAGTTATAAATGCTAAACAGCTATTTCATCAGCAGGCAACCAGGAGGTTAACAATCAGTCAATCAATCAATAAATCAAATCAGCCAGTGACGTCAGAGGTTATTGATTGAAAGCAGAATGTTGAAGTGTAACTGTAACTGATTGATTGCTTAAAACCTTTTGCTCTTGCTGTGCTCAGTGTGTGTGTGTGTGTGTGTGTGAGCATAGATCTGTAAACACTGTATAGGCCAGTGAGTGTTTGTACTCACATTTGTACATTTGTGTTTGGATGTGCATGGAGGGATTACTAAACTGGCCCACTGAGCCTCTGTTTGCTGAGGACGACAACTAAAGATTCAAAATGTCTACAACGGCATGCAAAGTGACTACAAAAGACATGCAATAAGACTACAAAGAGATGCAAAGAGACCAGAAGGAGACCCAAAACAACGATAAAGAGTCGCGAAAAGACAAACAAATACATCAAATGATTAAAAAGAGACAACGGGACTAAGAAAACCAAAATGACATCAAGGAGATGCAACACAACTACAAAGAGATTCAAAATGACTACAATGACAAGCAAAGCAATTACAAAGACATGTAGAACAACAACAAAGCCATTCAAAACTACTACAAAAAGATGTAAAGTGACTACAAAGAGACCCAAAATGACATAAAGAGACGCAAAGCGACTAAGAGATGCAAAATGACTACACAAATATGCCAAACAACTACAAAGACAACCAGAGGAACTACAAAAAAACACAAAAAGACTACAAAGACACACAAAAAGACATCAAAAAGAACCAAACGACTTTAAAAAGTTGCAAAACGACTACAATTACATACAAAATAATGACAAAATGATTAAAAGACTTGCAGTCCTTAAAAGTATACATAAATATTGTGTAATATTGTTATCGAACACCATTAGTGTGAAGTAGTAACTTCATGTTTTTGACGCACAGCAGAACAGTTTTCCTGAAAGTTTGCACATTTGTTTTATTGAATATTCTGCAGCACTTTTCACAGTAAAAACAAAATCAATGCTGGAGTACACTGTTGTAATAATATTACTCTTCTATTAATCCCATATGTACATTAAGAAGGTGGCGGGTAGTAAAATATGTTGTTCTCCTCCCTGCTCATATGCTTAAAATGTGGACATTGCATTACTTTGTCACAGATTATTACTCTTATATTTTAATAAGTGAAATATTAAGTATACACTGAAGTGAGTGTACATTCTGGTGACCTGCTCTTGCTGTGGCCTCTTGCCCAGTGCATGCTGGGAAAGTCGTCTGCCTTTACTCCTGAACATCATTGGGTCAGAGAACGACATGAAGAAAATTAGAAGAACAAAATAGAAGCAAGTAACAATAATGATGTGAGATGAACAATTGTCATGTACTTGTATTTACGCTCACAAGTCTTGAAGTCATCAGAGCTGCATTGTGCTGTATTTCAGTGTAGCAGCCACTAGGTGGCAGTGAAGTCTGCTGCTAGTTTCACTGTGTTGCACAAATATAACATCAAAACATTCAAAAATGGTAAAAAAAAGATCCCAAGATGTATCTTCTTCTGGAATCCGAATGTTTGTGAATTTAAACAAATGAGGTCCAGCGTGCCACTGCGTTGCATCGAGTTTTTTTTTAAAGTGTCCAGATACTTAAGGTTTTGCGTCAGTAGACAGGTGTGTGAGCGTGAACGTGTTAGTCAATAGCCTCTGTGCTGCAGATTGAATGCATGTGGGCAGCATCCCAGGAGAGAGCAGGTTCAGTTCCTCATCCCGTTCTTTTGTCCGCACCATCAGTCACTCTGACACGGGGAGATGAAGAGATGAGAGGCCTGTGTTTCACCATGTAAGTGTGTGTGTGTGTGTTCAGTGTATGTGTGTGTTAGAGAGAAGAAAAAACAGCTGACTCCTCATTCCTTCAAATGCTTCCTCCTCCTCAAATACTGCAGCTTGGTCAGTGGCCCTGAGCTTCAAACTGTGACATTCTAGGTTCCCCCTCTTTCTAGGTTTGTCAGTTTCCGTACATTACATGTGTAGTTTAAAAAAAACAAAACTTTTGTGTTCACGGGAAATGTAGAGTCTACGTTCACTGTCTCTTTTCAAATTAAACTTCCGACGTAAGTTTACTCAGTTCTTAGGTGTACTTACGCATCAAAAGTACATTGTTAGATTAGGAAAAGATCAGGTTTGGGTTGAAATAAGCACGGATGCTACGTAACAAAACTACACGAACAACGGTCTCCTGGGTGAGAGTCCTGTGTTTGTTTGACCCTCCAACAGAGGAAGGTAAAATAAAAGAAGATGGTGCATTAAAGCTAATCATGCAGGCTGGACTCATCCAGCATTCATAGCAAAAATTATGAAAAACAATGTGCCGTAATTCGTAGATATTCCACAAATATTTTTTTCCGTAGGTTATCCATGTAATCATGAACGAGGAACTATAAAGACTGCTGAAGCACACACATGTGGTGATGTGTCCAACAAACAGCGATCTTTTGTTCCCTGTGAAACGAGAAGTCAACGTTGATGTTTTTGTCATTTACCTTACGAACTTCAGCAACGGCACTCCCGTGGTTATTTTCACCCAAACTATGATCTTTTCCTAAATGTAACTTATTTTTTTGGTTTCCTGAACCTAACTGAGTAGTTTTGTTGCCTAAACTGAGTTTCCTGTGAACCTTATGCATGTAAGAAGTAGAAAATGTTCACGTGTTGCAGGCTTTCGTAGGAAAACGCACCAATAAATGAGGAGTAACTTTCATACGAACAGTTGTACGAGGATACGTTCAATAATGCTGCGTTCATGTAACATTGGCAGAATTGGAAGAACAGGAAACCTTCTTGTTCACACATTATTCCCAGATGGTTACCATTGTACCAACATCATTTACAGTAAAGAGCCTAAATGAGCTGCTTCTGCTGTGTGTACGTATTTAGAGTGACATTACTGTAATAAGTGAATCCAGATACAAACGTGCCGTCAGAGCAGCGCTGTTCGCTTCACTTTCATTTAAGCGTGCGGATCATAAGCATGTCATGTTTCATCATGTGTGTTGTTTTGACTGACGTACTGCAGAGCTGGAGTTGAGGATGTGTCACAGGGATCAGAAACCCCGTTCAGGTGTTTGCACGCCACAGTACATTTCTATCCGAGTGCTCCTGGTCCTGATGTAAAACATTTAAGGGATGCAGGAAATGAGCAGGAACTCCAGTGAGGC